TGACTTGCAGCATGGTGGGTGAGGGAAACCCACCAATGCTAGAACGTGGTGCTGGTGCCTCCACCGTTGTGTATGTGGCAACAGGGCCCTCTGTGGGGGCCCTTTTGTTTAAAACTGCCTAAAAAGACAACCCAGCTGCCTAGGCTAGGGGAATATCTGCTGCCTCTTCTAAAGGAAGTCTCCAGAAAGGTTTGGCTGTGCGAACCCTACCTGTCCTCCCCTTGGGGCTGGAAGACAAAGGCAGGCAGACCAATGATCTGCGAGTCTTCCAATAAATATATCACTTGGATAAAAGATCCTGAGGTTTTCCAGCCATCTGGCCTAGATGATTGCTGAGACGCACCAGCACAGCTCTTACTACCACCTTACTACTAGTTTGCCTCTTGACCTCACCTGCAGCAGACTACGAGTGTGTTAGAGCAAGAGAACCAACGGGGCTTTACCATAACTTCTGCAGGCTGCAGCTCGGCATCAGCAGCCCCTTACAGAGGTGCTCGACGCCGGCATCTCCCAGCTCATTGTTGTTCAGCTTCAGCTCCGTGAGGGATGGGTTCGTTTTGATGATGGAGGAGAGATCCTCGCAGTTACTGCTGGAGAGATTGCAGTCATCCAGCCTGAAAGAGAAGGAGAGGAGGAGCACTTTAGCCATAAGGGTTGCTCTGTTCTCCTCAGCTGGCTTGTGGCAGTCAGTCCTGATAACATCCCATAAAGAGGTTGGACTTGATGATCCTGAAGGTCTCTTCCAACCAAAACTGTTCTATGATTCTATGAAAGCAAAGCAGGTGATTTACTCCTCTGTGCTCCCAGGAAGGTGTACAGGGAGGCCAAAAAGACACGGGGCAAAAGGAAGGTGTCATGAAGAACCTGCCGGTCACTTCTCCTTAGATGGAGAAAACAGAGGCTCTAGTGGGCTTCTCCATCCCTCCCACCAGCAAGAAGACTTGGCTCCCAGTGGGATCGTGTTCAGCACTGATTAACCTGTCACCACATGGGGACAGGATGAGGGGCAATGGTTTTAAACCAGAGTGGGGCAGATTTTTAGGTTAGACATTAGGAAGAAGTTCTTTACTAGGAGGGTGATGAGACACTGGAACGGGTTGCCCAGAGAAGCTGTGGATGCCTCATTCTTGGCAGTGCCCAGGGCCAGGCTGGACAGGGCTTGGAGCGACCTGGGCTGGCAGGAGATGTTCCTGCCCAGGGCAGGGGGGTGGACCTGGATGATCTTTAAGGTCCCTTCCAACCCAAACCACTCTATGGTTCTATGATCCCTGCTGCAGCCGCTCTCATCCACTACATCTTGAGCAGCCTCTGCCCAGGAGACAACCATCCCCCTGCCTGCTGCCACCCAAGGCAGGCCTTGGAAAGTCAAGGTCAGGCCCGTGAAGCTTGTCCACAAACAGCTCCTTCGCAAACCAAAAGCGAGTCACCTGACAGCCTCCAGCCCATCACCAGCTCAGTACAGCCCATCCTGTCCCACCCAAGCCAAGACCATGCCAGCCCATTCCCAAACCACAGAGAGACAAGACTGCAGGGGAAACTCCTCTGAACCCTGTCCTCCAGCTCATGCTCCGGGAGACGGTTCCCTCAATACATCAGGCTGGTACATTTGAAAGCCAAGGGAAGAATTAAAAACTGATGGCACCACCATTCAACTGTTACTTGGCAGCATCTGACCTGCAGCCCAGAGAGTGTGCGACTGAGTGAGCCCAGAGAGATGCCTTCCCTCTCTCGAGGGAGAACCATAGAATCACAGAATGTTTGGGGTTGGAAG